TTTTAAGCGAGTTAAGGTATTTAGGCCGTTTAAAACTATGAAATTATAAAATCTCGTCTGCACGCTAGGCATACCAAAGATATCAATCCCCCTATGTTTACCTTAAAATGGTTCCAGGAATACGCCGCGTGAACGTGTAACCTTCTGGAAGCTGCCACGGCGGGCTCTAATATTTCCAACTCAAATTTAGTATCCTGGCCTTTATAAAATACCACTTCTCATCACTGTAGCTAAATACCTCAAGAGGTACATATGTATGCATCATGAGATCTTTATAAGGCCGAAGCCGACTCTCCCTTTTCCATTAAATGAAATTCTTCCTGTCAGTACGGCACTTATATAATATAAATCTCCATAACAAATTTAAAATACTTCCAGAGATTTTCTATCCTTCCAGAGATATGTACTAAGAAGGTTTTAGTATGTATGGGGGGCGAAATGCCTCCTTTTTTAATAACTCACATTTTTTTCCATGAGCAATTGATACATTTTGTATACGCAACTCCATATCAAGTTCCAGTATTCTTCCACAAATACTTCCAGGGATATGTGGCAAGAAAAAGTCAATTTGTACGGGAAGTGCAAATTCCATGAGTTTGGAATTGATTTTATATACCCCAGTACCAGCTCTCAGTATTCTACTATGAACACCCCTTGAGATATGCGGTAAAAAATAGTAAATTTGTACGGGACGTACCACGCCCCCTTTTCAAAAACCGCATTTTTTTCTCCATGAGTCTGGAATTAATTTTGCAAACACATCTCGTTGCCAAGTTCCAGTCCTCTGCAATAAACACCTCCAGAGATATGCAACATAGAAAAATCAATTTGCATGGGAGTTGCCACACCACTTCGTCCAATAACTCTAATTTTTCTCCATAAGTATGGGATTAGTTTCACATACATGCATGCATATGTATTTCCATACCAAGCTTGAGTACTTTACCCCAAATATTTGAAGAAATATGCAGTATGAAACTTTCAGTCAGTAAGTGTGGTGCTACGCCTCTTTTCTAAAAATGTCCATTTTTCTCTGTGAGAAAGAATTTGATTTCGCATACCTACAAGTCCCAGTTCTCTACCACAAATACTTCCAGAGATATGTATGTACTAGCTTATACCCGCGGGTTTCACCCTACATTTTTATACAAATATGAAAAGTAATTTAATGATGTTATATTTTATTTCTGTGCCCATTTTGTTATGGTGACAGGTAATAAGATCAACGGAAATAAGGTCAATTGACTTTACTTGCCACCCTGGTGCCATTGATATTATTACCTTTTTAAAAACGAAATTAGATCCATTGACATTGTTTCTCTTTCAAACATTAAATTTGCTTAGCTTCGCGGTGGCCCGCGTAAGCGCGCCACACCGCGCACGCCGAGCACGCGCTCGCGCCCCGCGTACCTCGCGCGACTGGCGCGCACACCACGTCACGCTACGCCGCGTGAGAAAAATAGCTGAAATTTGACAATGACCAGCTAAAAGCAAAAACAAAATACAAGTAATTGTTGTATTTGTTGAATCGATACCACCTTACACCTGTACAGCAATTGTTTGAATGTATTAAAAAGTTGCAATGCAGATTGTTAGACAATAGATCTACCATTATGAGGTTGAAATTTCATAGTACTGGGTTTTAATTTGATAGTTTTATTCACGTTGGAAGTAGCTACTCAAAAAATAACGTTGAATGAATTCGTTGAAACCCGACACTCTCGAAATCAAAAATTAAATTAAAATTAAATATACCAAAAACTTCTAATTTTCCTCAAAAAATTAATGAATGGATTCCTTCGGCTTAAACTAACAGAGTAAGCTAATCATCAAAAAAAATCATTTCGCACCAGCTTAAGGATAAGGCTCTTAACCTCAATTATAAAAAAAAAGGCTTATCAGAAAAAGATCAAGCGAGAGAATTGGAAAACGATTATCCACAGTTCAGCGAATGGAAGCTGCGGCAAGACTTAAACCTTATCTAGTTGTAATTTATATAATTCTGTTAGACTAAATTAATTTTATAACAAAACCCTCACCCGTTTACTTTACCCCAATGTTCACAATGTTTTTTAGTAATGACTAAAAAACATGTTTAAAACTTGACTTCGGTCAACTCCCACGTTAAAAGTTTTAAGCTAAAAAGAAACAGGGTGATATCCTCTTAAAACTAAATTTATAGAAGTTGCCACAGTGGTCAAAGGGATATGAAATGCCGAGAGAATCGAAACAGTCTCATTAAAACTCGATCAGACTCCACAATAGGTCATATGATCCCAGAAATATGCTGGAAGGAGCACTTTCACAAAGTGCTAAGCCATTGAATCATTTACTTTATACCTTCAGTAAAGTTTTGGTTGGTTTTAAGGAAAATTAATTATTCACAAGTAACTTTAAATCGGTTTGAAACCAAAGATATGAATAAAGTTCTGGAACTCATCAATTTACGAATATGTCCTATTTACGTCAAATCGAAAAATACACGATATTTATTTAAAACGAAATTAGTAGAGATACGCGAACTATGAAAAACCATATACTAAAGATAGTTTAGTGGAACAAGTTGACTACTCAAGTCTCTAGAACGGGTGTTCAGAAAAAATTTTATCTTTATCAAAGGAATTGTCTATTATTTGTTTATCCAAGCAAAATATGAAGCTTTCGCTAACATCTATCTATAGCGGAATTCTTCCCCTTATTTTAATATATTAAATATTATTTTCTGAAAACCTGTTAAAAAGATATAACCCATTTTATGCGTACCGATTTTGAGTGAACAATGCTTTACCTTATATAACGACAGGTAATAAGTCCCAGATGGTTTCTAAAGTCGCAAATTAATTTTTGTGCAAATTGCAGATAGAAGGTATTAATGAATTCAAACCCTTGATATTTCACATTTTTATATTTCTAAGTTATTGGAAGCAGGGGTGCCAACTTGGCTCAAACCGTGCCATTTGTCCGTATTTTACTTCAAATGGCACTTAATTTTTCAATTTGGCACAAAGTGCCAAAATGGCACTTTTGTAAAAAAAAAAACATTAAAATACATTTTTGTGAAATCCTTTGCGTGCACTTCTTTTTCTCAACTAAAATTTTCTAATTTATAAAGGTTATTCAACTGGTTTATCTTATTTTACATTGACCTTTTGTTTGGAACTGCGACGTGGCAGTAAATGCGTTGCGTTGAGTTTAGTACTGGCATCTTAGTCAAGGTTATCTATACCGGTCGTTTCCCTGAAGAATGGACTTGAGTTCACTGTCTGCCTCCTGTTCTGTAGCGATGACATCGTAGTCGATCGATTCGCGCTGCATTGCATTTATGCATGACAGAAAATCAGGGACTTTGTTTTCCTTTATGTAACGCAGGTCGGTCGTAAATTGGCTGACGTAATGTAGGTAACGGAGATGCCGTGGGTCTGCTTTTTCAGGTTTCTGTTTGAAAGCGAACGTGATCGGCTTGTGGTCGGTGTAGATCGTTCAACATCTACCTTCGAGTTGATCCGCGAAGTATTTAATGCATTTGTATATCGCGTAAAGCTCTCTTGAGTATGTACTCCAGTTACATTGAGATGTTGTTAACTTGCGCGAAAAAAATCCGAGGGGGTGCGCCTCGTTGCTTTTTATCTGATGTAATACACCTCCGATGGAGTTATCTGATGCGTCGACTGATAGCGTGAGTTGTGCGTTCACTTCCGGATGTGCAAGTAGAGTTGCGTTGGCCAATTTTGTCTTAAAGTCGTTGAATGCAGCTGATTCTTGAGTCCACTCCATTTTACGTTTATCGTTTTTGATGTTACCTGGTATTAGCGCTTGAAGGATAGCCTGGGTGTGCGCGGCCGTAGGTATAAACCTTCGGTAGAAGTTTACAATTGCTATGAAACAGCGCAGGTCCTTTTCTTTAACTTCTCGAAGACAATTCGAAGATGTTGCTTGTGTTCGGTTTCGGAGCAAGACGCGACGCAGATGTCGTCTAGGTATGGGACGACAAAGTCTAGTCCCCGAAATACGCTGTCGATGTGTCGTTGAAAGGTTTGGTCTGCGTTGCATAACCCGAAAGTCATGAATCGAAATTCGAAAAGGACAAAGGGAGTGGTTATAGCCGTTTTTTCGATGTCGTCGTGGTGCATAGGTATTTGGTGGTACGCTCTCTCCAGGTCGATGGTCGAAAATATATTTTTACCCACGAATACTTGATGAAATGTTTGTATATTTGGAATAGGGTACCTGTCCTTTTTGGTAACGGCGTTCAGGGCCCTGTAGTCCCCACAAGGTCTCCAAGTTTTATCCTTTTTGGGTGCCATGTGGAGTGGCGAAGCCCATTGGCTTTTAGACATATACCTTTGGATATCAAGTACTCACACTCCGCTTTGGCAATTTTAAGTTTTTCCGGTGTAAGTCGTCGTGGCTTGGCGTGCACTGGTGAGCCGTTTCTGATTATATGGTGAAATGTTGTCGTATTAGGTATTGTTTTATTTTGCGGTAATACAAATAGCTCTTTGAAATCAGAAAGTATACGTGCGTATTTGTTCGTGTCTGTGATAAGTTTAATGCCGGTGGTAGTTGTGGTCTGCATTACGCCGGACGTTCGCAATTTCGTTGTTTTGTGGATTAGCGATCGGGTTTTTAAGTCGACTAAAAGGTCGTAGCACGTTAAAAAATCCGCCTCTATAATTGGCGTTTTTACGTCGGCTATGCAGAATGTCCATTCAAATGGACGACGGAGGCCGAAGTTTAGTTTCAATGTTTTCTGTCCGAATGTGCGTATTTGAGAACCGTTTGCTGCGTTGACGGCCTGAATTGTTGTTGATTTGCATTTTGTATCGTTTGCGCTTACTGGGATCACCGAAATGTCCGCTGCGGTGTCGATGAGAAACTGTTGGTTGTCGTAAAGATTTTTGATGAAAAGGCGGAGGTTGTCATTACCATGGCCGAGCTGGCAAGCTCCTCTCGTGGCTTGTACTCAGCACCTTAGTTTTTTTGGATCTTGCTGTATAACATCAGCATTGCGGTCGAATTTGCACGGCGACCGGCACTTGCGGGCGCCCGTTCCATACTTGTCGTGGTGCCAGCACGTGTTGATAACGAGTGCGTGAAGTCGGTCGTGCCGGTGTTGAGCTAAGTTGCCTACCGCGGTGTGGTTGCTTCATCTTCTGGAGATCGCGTGAGAGTGCGTCGATCTTTCGCTGCAATTCTTCGATGTGACGAGCGGCTTTGTCGCTTACGTCCCGGTGTGCTACAACGCCCTGTTTAAGGCTTTGTTGTTGAACAGCGTTTACGTAAGGGTTGCTACCTCTAGTGGCCTCCATGATGCGGTCGGCCATCGTTGCTGCGTTGACCAGGGTTATGCAATCATCTGCAGATATTATTGGTCGGAATTGCTCCGGGAGATTTCGGAGCCATAGCTGTTTTAGGAGCTCATCCGTTACTGGGGTAGCAGCAGCCTTTGAGCGCATTTCAGCTAGCAACTGGGACGGCTTGCAATCGCCAAGTGATAAGTCGCTGAGAACCTTAGTTATTTTCGTTTGTGTGCTGTCGGCGAACTCGTTGATAATCCGAGCCTTTAGTGTGTTGTACATCTCATTACGTTGTCGGGGATTAGTGCGAAGATCGGCTAGCTTGTGCATTACGCGTGTCGGCAATTGTCCAATGATGGTGTAGTAGTGTTTTTTATCGGACACGATGCCTTCCGCTTCGAATGCTGCCTCGACTTGCCAGAACCAAAGATCAGTATGCTCATCGAGGAAATCCGGGAGCTTCACCTTTCCTTGCTCCAGTGAGTCCACCCGTGTGGTTGCCTCAATAGGAGACGCTGGAGCATGTGAACCTGCGTTGCTGCCTGGAGCCGCCGCGTGTGTCTCGCCGTTGTTGTCCGCCAAATCATTATCTTCCATTTTCTGAGCACGTGACATGAACTCGATCACGTCGGGGTCACCAGTTTAGTTCCTTTTGTTTTATTCCCTCGGATTGACTAAATTTTCGTTGATTAATTTTATCTACTCAAAATCTTTATTTAAGTACGTCTAGTCTTATGAAAAGGATGAACAGAAAAGAGAAAAAGTAAAGGATACAAAATGGTTGCTTGACAGGAGACAGGGTTGCCAAGTTGACTTTTAAGTGTTGGTATTGCCCGATCTCCAAGTGAATGCGGGCGATGCTACTTGGTGTTCTAAGAGGCCACTGACTAGTACGCCACACTACTAACGTTCGCCTGTCGGGCGTCAGGAGGGCGTGGAACTCAGCCGCGCAAGGCCACTGTACAATGTGCGTTTGCTAACAGCCTCATACAGCGCTAAGCTGAGTTGGCGCGAACGTTTACTTTGATCATTAAAAGCGTTCCTGAAATATCGCGTGGAAACCGAGTTCGTTCCGCCTCATAGGCGAACGTTAGTATTCTAGGGTTAAAAGTACGATTCCTGTGTTCACCGAACTACAAAGGATTTTTTTTACTCGCCAAACAAATTTGAGCGTACGGATTTTTTACGGATTTTTCACCCACCACTTTTTGTCCATGTACGGATTTTAGGCTCTAACCTTCTGGCAGCCCGGACCACGCTCGCTACAGTGGCTACACACAACGAACATGTGCGCGCACATGCTCGGCTTGCGGTGCATGTTCGTCGTTTGTAGGGCGGTTCACGAGCATGCTCGCAAAAAATAAAAAAATTTTGATTTTCAGCGAGCATGCTCGTCGTTTATAGCGTGGTTTGCGAGCATCGCATTGGAAACAAAAACGACAACCTCATTTTGTGTTGATGCTTGAAGTGTGCACATCGGCGGATTAATGCATCCAAGCTATGTGCGTTAATTGAATTTTTGATAAATGATGCTAAATTACTATAAGTATATTTATGTACATACATACAAGTAAAATATAAATAAATTTAAGTAACACATACATAAAAAAAACTAAGTTAAAAGCATTGCAATTGCATCATCAGCGTCTTTGCTAATCAACTTTACGCTACCACGACAAAATCACATATGAGCCGCTCACCGTATGCGGCAAACGACAGCGAGCATGTTGGCTCACATGTGCGCGCAGATGTTCGTCGTGTGTAGCCAGTTTAAGAGTAAACGCCAGCGCTATTGCAGGCCTCGCGTATTAAGTATTAGCGGTAGTCCCGTGATCGTTGAAGCTGCTTTCTCTCTCACATAGGTCAAGTGGGCGCTGAAAGTAAGACGCTTGTCTAGCACTACTGCGTGGGTTTCGTCGTGATAGTGTGGTCGCTAATTTTTAGCGCTACCTCCTCTACTTTCTTACTGTATGTTTGAATGTACATATGTTTTGAGTTTTATTTTTTGCTCGGAAAATAATCGTTACTTTTTAAGTTTTATTTTTTGCTCGGAAAATAATGGTTACGTTTTAAGTTTTATGTTTTGCTCGGAAAATAATCGTTACGTTTTAAGTTTTATTTTTTGCTCGGAAAATAATGATTACGTTTTAAATTTTATTTTTTGCTCGGAAAATAATCGTTATTTCTTGAGTTTTATTTCTTGCTCAGAAAATAAAACTTAATTTTTGCGTATGCGTATGCGCATGCGTGAATAGACAGGACGCGGCTGCATTGAACCTTTAACGCCACTGTGGAGTGGGTAATGAAAATACAGATACTACGGCAGAAACAAAGAGAACCACAATTAAGTTTTATTTTCTGAAACTTAAAACGTAACGATTATTTTCCGAGCAAAAAATTAAACTTAAAACGTAACCATTATTTTCCTAGCAAAAAATAAAACTTAGACGTAACCATTATTTTCCGAGCAAAATATAAAACTTAAAACGTAACCATTATTTTCCGAGCAAAAAATAAAACTTAAAACGTAACCATTATTTTCCGAACAAAAAATAAAACGTAAAACGTAACGATTATTTTCCGAGCAAAAAATAAAACTCAGTTAATAACAATTAAAAAGTGATTTTTATAATAAAACTTATAACCGTTACGGTCCCTGCTTTAAACATATTATTTCTTAAGCTATAGAACCGAGCTATCAATGGGCAGTCATACAAGCTCCCACTTCTACTTGACCTTTGACGTACGTCAAAGAGACATAGTCCTTTTAATAATATTTTTTTCCTGGTTTTCTGTGCTTTAAATACCCGCATTTTGATTTGCTTCTGATGTTACATACCGTCACCTTAATTCACAAAGGCCCTAACCAGCAAATTTGTTATTTTACAGGAGAAACAAAAAGGATTACAAAAATCAAATCATTCATACGGATAGGGCATTTTAACAAGTGGCATAACTTCGTTGGTTTTGGTACTAACACTTTCACATTTTTAGTGAAGGTGTATTTTAATATCCTCCCAAAGCTGTGAAAAACGCAGTTTCGAAAAAAGTGTTCGTTATGGCCTTTGTGAATTAAAGTAACGATATATTCGTTTCAATCATTTCAAATAGGGCTCTCTGGGAAATTTATTTTTAGCAAAAATTTATAAACAGTAATGTTTTTTACTTGTCGGGTAATATTTTTTTCATAGAGATATACATTGGATCCTTGGCTAAAAACTTCTGTGGTAGAACTCTCCTCCTACGTCTTCCTTCTTTGCTATTTAAAGTCAAAGAGTAAGCTCCTTCAATAGGAATTTCCAGCAGCAATGGTCAACGTTTGGCTATAAAGAGAAAAGGCTATTGGTCAGACCTTTAGTTAGGTAAGTATTACGTAACTATCTGAGACCCTCATCATCCGTGATTCCAATAATTCAAATGCTTATAAAAAACGGGGTGTTTTAAAAAAAATAACAATATTCTGATCCGATTCGGCTGACAGCCACGACTTTGGAAACAGAATTTTGTTCAAAATGTTCATTCCTGCAAAATAATAATTTATTTCCCATATCAAGATATTAAGCTCGCTGTAAGCACAAATTTTTCAAACCAGTCGCAGAAGAAAGTATTAAAAATCTATTACAAAATCTAAATTCAAAAAAACGCTGATGGCGTTAAAGGTTCCCCAAATTCTGAAACAGCCAAAGGAATGGGAATGAAGAATTCTTTTTAAAAAGCTTTAGAAAAACCTGAGGCATATGGTTTGGCTTGTAAGCGCTGTTTAAACAACGATCTCGCCATTATGCTAGTTTCTTCAAGTCAAGATGAAAGTCCGGAGGATACATCCGAAATTTACGGCCCCGATGCTATTCTCATTACTTTTTATTACATATGTTCCAATTTTTAAACTCAAGTATTTTTTCATTTACCTAAGTTACTTAATTTACTTGAATAATTGTTTCTAAAAAATACTTGACATCCGCATTCGCATTCGCATCCGCGGATGTTACCTGTTGGACATCCGCATCCGCATTCGCATCCGCGGATGTCTAAAATTCCACATTCTCAACATCCCTAGTATGTATGTATGTATGTACATTAGACTGCATCAGCAAAAAAATTTGCGGTTTTTCGGGCGTGATTACAAAATCCATTATATTTTAAGACTTCTACCAAAATATTTCGGAAAAATATTAAGATTTACGTGAGCTGGACCGGTTTGAAAATGGAGTTTTGATGAATACAAATAGTTTCTTAAAGCATTTTTTGGAAAAAATTATCCCAGATGATAAACCAATTTAAGCTTAAATCTGCATAAAAATATTAAAAATGTTAATCAACGGAATCATAATGATGAGTTTTTGATGCTGTTTTTTAACTGTTTTCAAAGATTTGTGTAAGAAAAACTTGAATAACTGCTCCAAAACTTTACCAATATAGACCTATGAGGTATCAGTGGAAAGTTATTTTCTCACCCTTTTTATTACTTTGCAAAAAAACTCATTCACGTCCCAATTTTTTATACCCGAGCACACTTGTGCACAAGGGTATTATAACTTTGTTCACATAACGGTTGTTTGTAACAGGCAAAACCAATCGAGATAGATATAGAAAAATGTATACATAAATGATCAGGATGAAAAGAGTAATCGATTAAGCGGTGACTGTCTGTCCGTCTGTGCACACGATAACTCGAGTAAAAATTAAGATATCTTAACGAAACTTGGTACGTGTACTTCTTTCGGGCGTAGGACGGATGGTATTGAAAATGGGCAAAATCGGACAATAACCACGCCTACCTCCCATATAACGGTAATTTTCATAAATACGAAAACTGCGATATTTTAGTAACTCCTGAAGATTATTCACTCAAAATTGATATTTACAATAATTTTTAGACGAAAAATAAGAATATTATAAATTTTTGAAAAATGGGCTTAGCCACGCCCACTTATGGTTACATATGTATATCTTGGCAACCGCTGCACCGATTTCTTCCAAATTTGGAACAGTTATTGGCCAGTTATTTGGTACAGCATACCAAATGGCCGAAAATCTTTAAGATCCATATAAGGGTAATTTAGAGAAATACGAAATCTTCGATAAATCAGTAAATATTAAAGCAAATTTATTCAAAATTGACGCTTGCAACAATTCTTTACCAAGGAATACGTTTATGACAACATTTTGGAAAATGGGCGTGGCACCGCCCACTTATGATTACATATATGTATCTCGGTAACCGTTCTACCAATTTGTACCATACTCGGTACGATTATTGCGCTTGCCACATAAAAGCAAAACTTTGAAAATTATTGAAATCGAACTAAAATTGCGGCCGCTTTTCATATAACGGTAAATTTCAGAAATGCTTGAAACTACATACATATATCGAAAGTTAAGGACGCTAATTTTCTCAAAATTGATACACCCCGGCTTACCATGTAGCGGTACTTGCGCCGGGTATTTAGTGTTCGGCTCCGCCCGAACTTAGACTTTCTTACTTGTTTTTTTATGAAATACCAACATAACTTAATTCAACATGGAATAGGGATGTCAATGGCAAAAATACATCGATGTTTTTCCTCGCATCGAGGCATCGAAACTTACATCGAGAT